TGAAGAAATATAGACTTTGGTGTTTTGAACTAGAAAAATGGTTGAATACTTTAAGTGGGGTTCCATAGGCCATAGTAAGAGAAGCATGGAAGACAGAGGTTCTGAGAGCAATGTAGGTTATGAGAGCTGATTCAAGAAGTTTCCTGGGGGAAGAATATAGTAATAAGTGGCCTAGACACCGTTCTTGTGATATTTTAGCAAATATCACATCTGCCCTCATCCTAAAAATCTGCCTGGAGCTAAACTGAAGAGTTTTGGATTAAAGGTGTTGGCAGAGATGATTCCAAGATAGCCCAGTGTTGGCTGTGTCCTGTGGTTATTAGCAATCACTCTTATGTGGGTCTATAATGGAAAAGAGTAAACTGGACAAAATGTACAGTGTGGGAATAAAAGGAACATTAGGATAAATAATATGGGAGCGAAGTGCTCAAGGAGATTTAAAAAAAGTTTAAAGTAAATCCTGATGCCAAATAAAATATAGGGAAGGAGTAAACAAGACCCCACCAAGCTAAGCTTCCAACTTGTGAGAAGGAATTAGAGAAAAGCTTAAGCCATAAAAGAGACCAACAACAATGTAAAGCTGATACAAACGTAACTGAACAAGATGGCCACGTTCCATTCCCACCAAGCAGCAGAACTTGAGAGTTTTGGCCAAGTGATTCTGGCTTTAGAATCAAGGATACAGAAAGGGGTTGTGGAATCTTCCTCCATGGCTCAGAGAAGCCTCTAATGTGGCCAAGTATGTATCAGGGGTGTCCCTGCATGGATGCCCAGACAGACCATTGAGTAAAGCTATGAATATAAAAGACTTGATTGCCTTGGAGACCTCAGGATGGAGATGCAGGAGACATGGGATACCGGCCAAGGAAAGTTGCAGACTGGGTGTGGAACCAACAGAAGAGAGAGATGTGTGTTGCAGTCAACAAAGCTGAAAGTATCTCAAGGTGTTTTAACATCAGGCATAAAGATGTGGACTTTGGAGTGTGCCTGCTACTTTTCAGCCTTGTTTTGGCCCATTATTCCCTTACTATGCTCCCCTTCCTCCCTTCTGAAACGGCAATGTATACTCTGTGCCATTCTATGTTAGACGTATGTGAACTGCATCTTGATTTTGGTTCTATAGGGGAATTACAGTTTAGAGATTGCCATGAGTCTCAGACTTTGAACTTCGGACTTTTAAACAGTGTTGAAACTGTAAGACTGTAAGGACGTTTTAAGTTAGACTAAATGCATTTTATGATATGATATGATATGATATGATATGATATGATATGATATGATATGGCTATAGGCCTATGGTGACCAAGGACTGGAATGCAGTGGTTTGAATAAAAATTTTCCTTCATAGGCTCATATATTTGAAAGCTTAGTCACCAAGGAGTGGCATTATTTAAAAGGATTAGAAGGGTAGGCTTTGAAGTTTCCAAAGCCCATGACAGGCCCTCTCCCCCCCCCCTCTCACCTGATGGTTGTAAAGCTCTCAGCTACTTCTCCAGTGTCCCTGCCATGATGATGAAGAACTAACCTCTGAAACTATAAGCGGGGCTCCAATTAATGGTTTCATTTATGAGTTGCTTGTGTCATGGTGTCTCTTCACAGTAATAGAACAGTGACTAAGACACCTGGGAGAGGGGACAGGCTAAGGTATCAAGTTCAGGTCTAGGGAAGTGGGAGGCCTCACAAGAGGGTCAGATTGGGAGCTACATGTGGAAGTCAGAAGCCTATGTTTTTCAGAACAGTGATGGTGGCTCTTATCTTGAGGGCATGGCTTAGTCAGCAGCCCGTGTTTTATAGAGCAGTGATGACGACCTCTTAATGGTGAGGTCCTTATCTTAAGGAGGTGATTCTGAAATGAGAGTGAATTCTTGAGCCTGGAAGTGAAAACTGGGGAAAGACACAGCAGGACGGAGTCACCATGGGCAACAGCCTGCTGCCATCATACTCTTCACCTTAGAAAGTGGCAAGGGACTTTATAACCCACAACCCTTCCCCTCTGTTGTCTAAGGTCTGCCACATCTGGCCCTCCCCCTCAAGAGTGTTTAAAGTTCCTCTTAGTGCCTCTCCATTCCAATTTCAAGTTGGAAATAATGCTTGAGTTCAGATCCCTACCCCCAGCCCCCAGTCCCACTATGATAAACCCATGAGAACATCAACAGGACGGAACAGATACCCAAAGACCTAGAATCAGAGGTTTGGAAGTTTGTCATTTAACCCAAAACGGGTCCGCAGAATATCAACTGCAGAGCATGGCTGGACTCCAAGGAAGAAGATCCTAAGCAAATTAAATGTAGAAAATGTCCTTAGTATCAAAACAGGGAGCATCCCTGCAGGAGTCCTCAGAGCCTTGAAAAGGTAAGAAGGTGATGTGTTAGGTTTACTAAACTTACTTAACCGTGAACCCCTTTAAGGCAAATCCATTACAACCAGTGCCCCATGGGATGTGATTTGGGAAAGGATACTCTGTCCTCTTGAGTCTATTTGTACCATTTCCACTGCTACAGTTCCCATAAGCAAGTGCCCAGGTCGATAAACCTCCCCATCCCCAGCGCCCAGATAGTCCCTATCTTAGTTAGGGTTCCTTTGCTGTGAAGATACGTCATGACAGCTCTTATAAAACATTTAATTGGGCTGGCTTACACTTTCAGAGGTTTCGTCCATTACCATCATGGTGGGACATGGCAGCGTGCAGGAAGACGTGGTTCTGGAGAAGAGGCTGAGATCTTGATCTTCAGCCAGCAGAAGCAATTGTGTGTCACACTCAGCATAGTTTGAGCAAAGGAAACCTCAACCCCACCCCAACAATGGCACACTTCCTCCAACAAGGCCACACCTACTCCAACAAAGCCACACCCCCAATAGTGCCGCTCCCTGTGGGGGGTCATTTTCTTTCAAACCACCACAGTCATCACCGCTGGACACCCCAGTTCATCCCACCTCTTCTAAGAAGCTGTATCTGAAATCATAGCTACGTCAGAATGGTCTTGAGAAAGCTACACAATTGACAGACTGCAGACATTCCAACTAAACCAGGGGTTGTCCCTTCGGGATAATGGAGATATCAACCAAGGGCTCCTGCTAGCAGCCCAGGCCATGAACATGGGGTGATGGTTTCAGGCCACAAGTAGCTTTAATCCCAGGCACTTCCTACCATGTGACTATGGCCAAGACACTGGACCTCTCTGAACCTTGGTTTCCTCTTCTATGTAATGGTGCTGATTTCCTGGAACTCAAGGGAGGTCGGCCTGTAAAACCCCACAAATGGTTCTGGCATCCTAGACCCTTCCTGTCCTCACCAACCTCCCAAGTCTCCTTCCCACTCTGTGGGAATCCCTACATCTCCATGGAAGCACAGATATTTTTATGAATTCAAAAAGGATCCTCTGAATTCACAAATCAGACTTCATCCCCTTTTTTCCATGATAAAGAATCCAACAGAGGAGCTAGATGGCTCAGTAGGGGGCAAAGCTCTCATCACAAAAGCAGCAAACTGAGGACTATTGGTCAGATTTGCAGAACTCACATAAACGTCAGTCACTTGTCATCTCAGGACACAGCAGACAGATGGCCACTATAGAAAGCTTTAAGTCCATGGGCTCTGGGCCAGCCTACTATGCTTCCAATCCCATTTATTAGCTGTGCAACTTCTCTGAGCCTCATCTACAAAATTGGAGCAGGAACAGCATTTCCCTCACAGGACTGGGACGCGGACACCTTCAGATGATGCATATAAAATGCTTTTATCGGTGCTTAGAACAGAGAAAGGGTACATGAATGTTGCTGTTGTGGACAGGATTCAATACTGATTCGCTGGCTCTATGTGGACTCAGAGTACACCCTGGACAGAAGTCTCTTTCTGTTTTAGTTTGAGTTTCTACTGCCATCAAGAAACACCATGGCCCAGCAACTCTTATAAAGGAAATATTTAATTGGGCTGGCTTACAGCTTCAGAGGTTTAGTTCATTATCATCATGGCAGGAGGCATGGCAGCGTGCAGGCAGACATGGTGCTGGAGAAGACGTCAAGAATTCCACATCTGGATTCTCAGGCAGCAGCAGGAGACTGAGCCACACTGGGCATAGCTTGAGCATACAGCCCACCCCACCCCCCATGTCCTCCAACAAGGCCACACCTCCTAATAGTGCCAGTTCCTATGGGCCAAGCAGTCAAACACATGGTGTATGGGGGCCACACCTATCAACCACCACACTGTCTCTTCTCTCCCCATTTCCCCAAACCCAAAAGACATGGGCATTACCACAGGACCATGGTTCACAAAATGCTCACATGAGCGGGGCCTCTGACCCCTAGCTCCTGCCAGCCTGAAGCATAGCCAGTGCAAGCTCTCTCTTGAAGTGTTATTCTAATAATTCTTTATCAATAAACACTAGGGAGTCAGTTATCAGGGTGAGAACCTGAATGATCAGAGAAGTGGCAGAAAAGCACTATTAGGAGGTATGGCCTCCTATCTCTTTTGTTCTTCCATCCAAACGGGCAAAGACCCTCTCTAAGCCCCACCCTACTACTTCCTGTCTCTCTATCTGTCCCCAGTCTTCCAAAACCTCTATGATTAATTTTGATCAGCTAGTAGTTAGCTCCGCCCTCTGATTCAAAGCAAACTTTACTGTCAGAATGTGATCAAAATATGACACAACGTTGTCTTATAGTGGGCGTGAAGTTCATCTGATCTTCCTTTCCCTGCAAACCCAGAGAGGCTGAGAATAGCAGCTATGCCCCATTCCCAGGTTCTAGATTACTTCAGTTTAAATCAAAGCCAATGGGCTTCACTATGTGAGTCCCCACTGGGCTTTGCCATGGGCCTTTTTCTGTGTGTGCCTTACTTTACCATCAGGAAATAAACCAAGGTAAAAAGCTACTGGACAAGGCCTCTACTGTCCAGAGGGCAGAGGTGACAGTGAGAGTTGCATTCAATCCTCAGACACAAGCTGAACTCTAACAAGGCCTTCTCCTTGGTCCACAGCCAGGGTACCCTGCCAGAGTCAATGGCTTCACAAGCCCCCATGGTGATTTCCAACAGTGGCAATAAGAAAGTCTCTCAATGGCAGGACCTAGGACCTGCCCAATCTGCACTAAAGGAGGCCCAGCCCCAGCATCTGGCTCCAGATGGGTACCTTGAGAAGCCCCAGGAGAGAAGTAACCTTCTGCAGAAGCTGGGAGTGAGTAGGGAGTTGGCTCCCAGGGAGGAGGTTGAGGGGGGCGCCTCCAGCTTCCATTTACACTCATGCTACAATCAAAACAAATGCAAGGGGAGGCTGGTGCTTTGTGGGATGTGAACAGGACCCAGGATGCCAGCCCTCCAGAGCCAGGACAGGATGGATGCCCCAACTGGGGTTTTGACATCTTTACCTGTCACTATAGCAGACCCTGGAGAGGGGGTCTCTCCTCGATGACCAGGACACCCAGAGAGGTGGGGAAAGGAACTCACCACCACCAGTCGGTCGAGGCCCTGAGGACCATGTGGGTCTGGCCATCTGCCCCCTCACTTTAGTTACTTCCGGCTTCCCACCCAGGTCTTTCACATCGTTATTGCTTTTGCACACCTGGCCTTCGGCGGTTACCTGGTCTCCACAGTTAAGAATCTTCACTTGGTGGTGTTGAAGTGCTGGTATCCAGTCTGGGGAGCTGTCTCTGTAAGTAGGAGCCCAAATCAGTGGATACAGAGGTACACGGGGCTCCTGGGAGGCACTGGCACCAGAGGCATGAGCCCATCCTGTCTCCATCCTTGCTCCATTCCCTCAGTCATACTAGACATAGCTCCTTCCTGGGAGCACCTGTCACTGGTGAGCCCTGTGGACCCTCTTTTAATTGAGGCATGTGTGTTGGACAGAGACAAGAGCCAGTTTAGGATAGGTTCACAAGGCTTCTGAGCACCCAGGCTACCTTTGTAGCCAAAGCAACCCTAGTGCCCTCATCCCTATCAGGCTGTTTGTGCAGCCAGACCCAGTTGTGATCCACAACTCTGTCCTCAGGACATCAGCCAGGATAAGAGACAATAAGACACATACACACACACACACACACACACACACACACACACACACACACTGTTCCCCAGAAGCTCCATTCCCCTCCAGGACTCCAGGACTTGTGTCCTGGCTCTGAAAACTGCTTCACACTTAGCCCCAGCTCCATAGCGTCCTCTTGGGCAAATATTTTCACCCCCCCCCCCATCTCCAGCTTCCCCTGAGTCCTCCATCACCACCGTCACAGCTTGGCACTCCCATAGTGACAGGGCTTTCTACACACAAAGTGCCCATCACCCTGTGCTCCCCAGGATGGGCACATAGCAAGGATTCAGTGTACATATGAAAGACAGATCCAAAACACCCTAGACCTGAGAGCCAGGAGCAATGTCCCACCAAGTGCAGAAGAAAGGTGAGGGAGGGAGGGGTGGTTACTGTGACCCCAGCTGTGGATCTGCATGAGCTCTGGAAGTCTGTGTCCTCCATGGGTGAGTATGTTGAGGGGCAAAGCTCTGTCCACAAAGTGGTGTTCTCTGCCCCACCAGCCAACAGGGGTTTGATTTCTCAGAGAGTAAAGTGGGGGGGGGGACAACATGGGCTTTGCAGGTTCTGAAGCACCTCAACTCTCTCCTTTGACCTTCACACCTGGTCTGCAGTTTCTCATCTCAGGAATCTCGGCCATGGCAACAGTGACATTTCCCAAGACCTCCCTGGTGAGTTGACATTTCTCTCAAAGCTAAGGGGAAGGCCAAAGGCATCTGTGTACAGGGACAAGCAGGACGATTGGCTGGGAGCAAGAGCATGTCTTCAGGGCATCTGAGAGGCTCCAGATGCAGGCTACGGACTAGAACAACGGGCAGGGAAGAAGGGAAGCCCAGCCAGAGCTCCTGGCCTCTCAGGAACGGCTCCAGGCACCTATCCCTCCATCTAGAATAGACCTCCACTCCTCAATTAGTTGCTTTCCTCTCTGTGTGATGAGACACCTGTTAGAAAGTGACTTTGGTTGAAGAGGGTACAGTCCACTGTGGTGAGGAAGACTTGGATTTGGCGGGGGAAGCAGGAGGCTGCTTGCTCATATCTGAGTGGATCAGAAAACAGAGAAGAATTCTGGTGCACATCCGACTCCCTTTTATTATTCAGTCTGGGCACCCCTCCCACACCTGTGGGATGGCGCTACCCATCATTAGAGCTATCTCCCCTCATCAGTTAAAACTCTCCAGAATAGGGGCTAGAGAGAAGGCTCAGAGGTTAAGAGCACCTGCTGCTCTTCCAGAGGTCTTGAGTTCAACCCAGCAACCACATGGTGGCTCACAACAATCTGTAATAAGATCTGGTGCCCTCTTCTGTCATAATAAATAGATCATTAAAAAAAATTCTCCAGAATACCCTCAGAGACACACCCAAAAGTCTGTCTCAGTGATTCCAAATCTACTCAAGTTAACAATGAAGACTAACCATCACAGCTTCCTTCCAAATCTATCAAGTTTCTTTTTAATTTATTCTTTCACAATTTCATGAATCTGTATTACATACTTTGATTCTATCTTCCCCAGCATTGTGTCCTCTCCTATGACTTCTCCCTCCTTCAAAACCTTTTCTCCCTCCCTTCAAGGTCCCCTCCCCCTTTCCTGTCTTTCCTTTGTTTTTTGCTGTTTGGGGTTTGTCTTTAAAACCACTGTGTTTAGTTAGTGCTGCTTACATGGGCATGGATGGGCCTTATTTGCTGGAGCAAGGGCAAATCTAGCAAGTTTTGACTTCACCCATTACATGGCCATCCAGCCCTGAAGCCAGCAGTTGAGGACCACCTGGCTCTGCATCCCTTCCCTGAGTCCTGGTGCTGCTTCTAGACAGTCCCTCAGCTTCACACCTTCTCCAGCCCACACCCTCTCTTAGCTCCCTTCTATTCCCCCTCAACTCTGATCTGGGAGAGTCATCCCACACTGTCTCCTCACAGCAGCCCAAGGGTTTGTTCCAGAGTATGAGTCCTACCATATCATCCAGCTTCTTAGGGGTTGGTGACCCAGCAAAGGCAGGAGATACCTGGCAGAGACCTGTATGGCAGGATGGTGGCCTGTTTCAGGAGCCCAGCAGGATGGATGGGTGGGTGGGTGGGTGGATGGATGGATGGATGGATGGGTGGGTGGGTGGGTGGATAGATGGATGGATGGATGGATGGATGGATGGATGGATGGATGGATGGGTGGGTGGGTGGGTGGAGAGGAGGAAAGACCCTAGGCTATGAAGGGGCAGGACACCTACAGGCTCTTTTGGATGTTAGACTCCAACAGTTGGCATATCTGATGTAAGATGGTTGTTGGGGAATGTGTCATGATGCATCCTTCTTTATTATGAGCCTAATGTACCTGGCAGCATCCCAGAAGCCCTTGAGTCCTTCTAGTGTGTTTTGTAGAGGATAAGTGGGTGGGGGGGGGAGCCTTCCCAGCAATCAGGAGCCCAGAGCCTGATATGCAAGTTAGCAGCCTTGAGCTCAAAGACAGGCAATCTCCTGGTGTGGGAGGAGGGTGTCACAGACCAAGTGCCTGGAAGGAGGGCATTGTGCTGGATCGCTAAGCTCTAACATTTCAACTCTGCTTGCAGAAGGTTCTGTGTGTGACAGTAAATGTCATCAGCTTCTTCTGTACACTGGCCGGCCTCTTTGTCATGTCCAAGGACCTCTTTCTGGAGAGCCCTTTTCTATGGCCGATCTGGAGACCATACCCCAACAACACAGTGAGTTCCCCTCCCCTCGTGAGTCCTCTGATTCAAAGGGGGAAACAGCCTTGAGCTTGGCTGAGCAGAAACAATCACATCTCAGAAAGCCTGTCCTGGAACCAGGCACTGCCCATCTGTACAGATCCCTCTAGAGGCACGGTAGAAACTCATGGCTGACAGGAAAACAGACTGTGCTTTGAGTCACCGTGTCCATGTTTTTCACATGGAAAAACTGAGGCCCAGAGAGGGCAATGTCCTGCTAGGTGCTGAGCTGTACACTGACTGCAGGACCACACCCTAGAACTGCTGATTCCACAGCTAAGGCACCTACCTCCTCCCAACAGCCTTGTAGAACAGGCTCAATCCACTTCACTGCCCCCATTTTATGGCGGTGAACACTGAGGTTCAGAAAGGATAAATTAGTGGTCAGAAGCCACATACACACAGCAAATCCAAGGTACGGTGAAAGCTTAAATCTTTCAACAGTGAGTCATGCTTTCACTACACCGTGGCTGCCTCTACAACAGGAGGAAGTCCTGCCACTCTAAGGAGCTTCTTGAGGGAGCTCCATGGCGACACACAGAAAAGGCACACACTTGCTTCCCTAGTGAGTGTCAGCTCACCCTTCCCCCACCCCACTATATTTCTCTCTGGACCTAGACAACCCCACCAGATGAATGGAATTGTCCAGATCACCCTTAGGGACACTTCCAGTTCTCCCAGGGTCTTGATAAACTCTCTGGTCCCCACACTTTGGGAAACACTCACCCAGCCGCCCTCCCTATGCGCCAGGCACTAGGCACGATGCAGGATGGAAACAGCCCCAACCCCTCAGAGTCCCTCCTTACCCTCCAGGGGGAGCCAGAGCCCTGCTGCCTCTGCTGTCCATCTGCCTGGCAACTCCAGATGACAGGCTGGTACCAAAGCCCTGTCCTATCTTCCTGCCACTCTCTGCAGGTCTATATCCAGAGACTGGAGCTGGCCCTGCTCTGCTGTACCTTCCTGGAGATCTTCCTGACAGGGCCCACAGCCATCACAGCCTGTAAGACAGAGCGCCTGCACACAGAGGTGAGACCTTCCTCAAGACATGGGAACCTTGGGCAGCAGCGAGCTCAGAATGAACAGATAGCAGGCAGGGCTCACAAACTGGGCACTTACAAGGTATCAGGACCTCTGTGGAACACGGCATGAATCTCCATATAATTACTATAGTTAACGAGCCATAGTGACACATCTAAACAGCTTTCCTTCATCTTCTCATCATCCTTTCAGGAAGGCATGTTCTCCCCACTATACAGATAAGTAAACTGAGACTTAGAGAAATCACACCACCTCCTAAAGCTAGACCCAGCCCAGGCTGCTTGCCCACAGTCCACTAGAGGCAAAATAGAACTCAGCTCCCACCAACTAGCCCCTGTAGATCTTTCTTGATCAGTGTTGGAGAGACAGTCACACGTAAGCCTCTGGCCGTTCCCTCAAGCCCCATATGGACCTTGTGACTTCAAAAGTGACTCTGCCAAGACACATTTTACAAATAGCTGATCACACATGGACTGAGCCAATGGGAACAATAATTTCTCACTTGCAGGATGACATCCCTCTTGTTCCTGACACACCTGTGGAACTTGAAGGTCTTTCAATGGAACCACCATCCTATGAAGTTGTGACTCAAGGTAACACACAAATGAGAAAATTAAGAGGTGAAGGGGTTCTCAGCCAGATCTTCAGAAGTGACCACCATTCCTTCTCCTGGGGAAAGGACAAACAGTGCTATTGTTAAAACAGTCCACCTAGGAACAGGTGGTGGTCCCTTCCCCTACACTTTCTGCCCAGTCCCAGATACCTCAGAGTCTGACTCAGCTGGCCAGAGCCTCCTCTGCTGAGTCAGGGTAGGACCAGATGCCCTCCTTGCCAGCCTCCAGGGTAGCTCTTGGGTGAACCATCCTACCCCAATGTAGTTAGACTTTCTTTTGGGCCACCAGCTCACAAATAACACAGAAATGAATTATTAATTATGAAAGCTCAATCTTAGCTTAGGCTTGTGCCACTAGCTCTTATAACTTAAACTAACCCATGTATTTTAATTTACATTCTGTCACGTGGCTTGTTACCACATCTCTCCATATTGCCCATGCTGCTTTCTCTGCATCTGGCTGGTGACTTCACCTTCTTCCTAGAGTTCTCTCTCTGCCGGGAAGTCCCACCTATACCTCCTGCCTAGCTATTCATTCATTGGCCATTCAGCTTTCATTACACCAATCACAGCAATACATTTTCACAGAGTGTACAAATAGCCCACAACACCCAGCCTCCCACCCACAGTGGGTGTACAGTGGCTGCCCATAGCTGGGTTGGATGTCATAGGCTATGTCCAGGGTAATCATGAATCATGGAGTTTGGGAACAACCAGAAAGACATCAAATCAAAAAACCGTGCAAGGTCTCTTTCCATCTATAAATGGAGGGGAAGTGATGGCCCTGATTTGGGAGGCTCCTGCAAGCTCAGAAACTTGAGGTCAGAAGTGGAGTTTATGACGAGACCCTGGCCTGGGACTTCTAAACCTAGTCATGCTGGTGGGCAAGCCGAGGGGAGGACCTGCCCTCCTCCCCTCCCAACCTTCACCGCTCATAGGAAACCACTGTCTGTGCTGGCTCAGTTGTGGACCACACTGGGTTCCTTCTGTTTCTTTAAATTGATTTGTTTCTTATATTATTTTAAGAGGTCTCTTTTTAGCCATAAATGCTTTAGCAACCAAAGTAAGCCCTCAAAATAACAAACGGTGAAACTAAATGTCATCAGATTCTTTACCCCTCTGCCATGACCTAACCTGCCACTCACTCCTTCCTAAGGAACCTTGATATTCCCCAACACACAAGCACACCCTGCCTCTGAGCCATAACCCCAGCCCTTCCTCACCTGGATCCTCCTCCTCCTCTACTGTGGGCAGAGCTTGCTTTGAGTCTTTCCTAGGCCACCAGCTCTGAACCACTGCTGGCTTCAGAGATGCTTTCCATCAATCTCCACTTCACACAGGCCCAGGGAACTTGAGAGTACTCTAAGAATGTTCACTAGTAAGTACTAGTGGAGCTCCAAACTGAAGTCCTGCCCCGCTGGTGATTCACGAGTTGGTGGCAGCATGGCTCTGGCTCTCCAGAAGGGACATTTCAGTGAGAGGGAGAGACCAGTACTATTGATGTTTAATAAGGATCAGGAGAAACAAATAGGCCGAATAGATGTTTATTCAGGGAGAAATAACTTACAACATAGACAGATGAACACCAGCAGGTTCCTGGTCCCAGGGATGCCTCTGGATGTCTTCCTGCCCCTGTGCTGCAGGCAAGAGAGCTCTTGGAGCCCCCTCCTTAGACTTAGTTCCCCCAGGTCAAGTCTGGCCCTGTCTCCACCCCCCAATGGGCGTGGTATATGCCACAGGTGCGGACAAGGTGAATATCTCACTACGCAGTACTTTCAAAGGAATGCCTGCAACATCAGCCCTCTCCCTGCACCTTATTTGATTCTAAGCACCATTGAATTATAACGACACGGGTCCATTTAAAGAAATGTATTATTGCATGTGCATGGTAAGATTTTGTAGCTCAGTTGGTAAAGAGTTTTCCTAGCTGGGAAACAAGCAAAGTTACTCAGTTTGCAGAAAAAAAACATGGAGATGAACTCTGACTTTAGCTATAGTTCCCATAGCCCTTGAACTTGGAATTCTGCTTTTCAATCTCATCAACCTTCTATGTTAAAAGAATCTTTGTGAATCATCTCAGCTAACCTCATGCCACAGGATAAACCAGATGTGTGATGTAGGCTCACTGAGTGTTACCCAGAAGGAGGTTTTAATAGACATGAGGCTGGACCCCACGTCTGATGTTATCTCCCTGGTCCTGGCCCACCTGCTTCCTGGGATCAGCACCCACCATATCCCCCAACCCTACAGTTTCCTCCAGTCTGAGATTCTAGCCCCACTGCTACCCCAGGAATGTTAAGAGAAACCACACACAAGGGCCTCCTCTCCAGCACTGAAATGTACTTCAGCACTGAGGCAGGTCATGGAGGCCTAATGTTTATTCCTTTGCCCCACAGCTAAAACCTGAATTCTTACTGTGCCAAATCCATCCCCATCTCCCAGCGGCTGAACTCCAGTGTCGAGACAGACATGAATCACAAAAATAAATGTATAACTCCTATGAAGAGAAACTGAGCTGCTCTGAGAGTGTGATGGAAACAGAGGGAGTGGAGGGGTCTCAAGGGAAGCCGACAGGTCCAGCTGTCCAGACTCTGCCAATTTCTTTTTCTTTTCTTTTGTGTGTGTGGGGTATAGTGTGTGTGTGTGTGTGTGTGTGTGTGTGTGTTCATGTCAGAGCTATTGATGTTTGAAACCATCTCATCCTTCCTCCTCATTCACTGCCAGCAGGGCCTCTCAATCTAGCCCAGAGCTTGCCAATATGGCTATTCCCACTGGCCAGCCTGCTCCGGGAATTCTGCATCTCTGGGCCATCTAAGCCTGGAATGACAGGTGAGCCACCATGCCCTCCCACCATCTACATAGATTCTGGGGATCTGTGCTGGCTAGTTTTATGTCAACTTGAGACAAGCTAAAGTCACCTGAGAGGAGGGAACCTCAATTAAGGAAATGCCTCCATAAGTTTGGGCTGCAGACAAGCCTGTAGGCGGGCATTTTCTTAGTTAATGATTAATGTGAAAGAACCCAGCCCATTGTGGATGGTGCCATCCCTGTGTTAGCGGTCCTGGGTTCTATAAGAAAGCAGTCTGGGTAAGACATGTGGAACAAGCCAGTAAGTAGCACCCCTCCATGGCCTCTGTATCAGCTCCTTCCCCCAGGTTCCTGCCCTGTTTGTGCTCCTGTTCTGGCTTCTTTCGGTGATGGACTATGATGTGGAAGTGTAAGCCAAATAAACCCTTCCCTTATCAACTTGCTTTTTGGACATGGTGTTTCATCGCAGCAATAGAAACCCTAAGTCACAATCTGAGCACCAGTTCTCATCCTTGTGTTGTGGCAAGTACTTTAACCACTGAGCAATTTCCTCAACCTTGCTAGTTCTTTCTCGCAGAGACTGAGTTCTTCCCAGGCAAGACCTAAGCCCACTCCTTCTCCTCCCTCACCACTCCCTGTGGCTGTGATCACTTCCCCCAGTCCCCCTTTCCTTCCAAACTCTCCTGGTGCCTGGCATTGACTCTGAAGCAAACTAATTGAGTGTGCCAAGCCCCTGCCAAGGGTTCAGCCAGGAAAAATGTCCCTGAGGACACATGCTAAGACTTAATGCAAGGAACTAGCGCAAGAGATTACAGAGGCCAGCAGAACAAGTCCTGGATGGGTGGAACAGACCATCCTCAGGGCAGGCAATCTGCACAGAGGCAGTCTGGAAGGCCGGAGCCACCACCCACAGTGGACTTCCTGAGACTTAGAAGCGTCTGTCCTCCCTCCAGGAGGCAGGGTTTCTACTGGGAGAAGACCTACAGGGGAGGCTTGGTTCTGTTTTGTTTTCCTCTCCACAGATGGAGTCAGGCCCATCTTGACTAGCTAAGAACGTCTCTCTCAGTCGGTTATAGACATGATCACAGCCCCAGAACATTTTTACAACAAAAGTCAGACTCGACTCTTCTGAGTAGATGGGGAGCTGGATGTGACATGGCTTTCCTTGAGAACCTGTCTATTCACTCCAAATGAGGATCGATGACAAACCAAAGAAAGGACCCCGCCCAAGTAAAGCAGTGAGTTTACTGGGGTCACCTGCAGGAGTGATTTGAAAGCAACTTGCCACCCGCGTGAGAGACACACAGTTCACAGCAGCTGCATCTTTGGGGCTCGCTGTGCAACTTGTCACCAGATCCAAGGAAACATCTCCTCTCCCCAGTGGCTGTGAGCTGCTTTATAACTCAGGGAGGGCCCTCAGGAGTTCCCTAACTCCCTGAACTCCTTGTGTCTTCCCAAATCACAAGAGATTCCCACCTTCCTCTGGGTAGGAGCATTTAAGAAGAAACAACACAAGAATCTTGCCAAGGCCACCTATCAAAAGCCTGTCATACTCACACAGAAACAAAGCAGCAAAAGACCAGATGATTAGACTAGATCTACAGGATTACCTTTGCAAGCTGGAGGGGACTGGCCTTCAAACATCCCCACACTAAGCTTTTTACTTCAGGGCACTAGCGATCATTTATTGAGTTTTTCTCCATGCCAGACACCATTGTAAGTACTTTTGTAAGAAATTCTTATCAAAAAAGAAAGGAAGGAAGGAAGGAAGAGAGAAAGAAAGAAAGTCTGAGGAGATTCGGGCAGAGGGAGGTTAAGTCATTTCCTCATGGTCACATGGTTTAAATGAGACGTACACTTGGTCCCCAGTTGATGATGCTATTTGGAGAGGCAATGGAGATGCACAGCCTTGCTAGGGCAAGTACATCACTGGGGTGGGCTCTGAGAATACTCAATCTCCACCACCGCTAGTTCTCTTTCTGCTTCATGCTTCTGGGTAAAGATGTGAGCTCTCCGCTCCCTGCCCCTGCCACAGTGCTTGCAGCCATGCTCCCTTCCTTTCCTTGGTGGACGCTAATCCCTCTGGCATCATACACCAAAATAAAGTCTGTCTTCTCTCAGTTGTCCAGGTCAGTGTTTTGCCGTAACAACAGAAAACTAACTAATACACAGAAGAATGTGCTAGAACCAGGAATCCCACTTAGTCACAGGCTGGAGCCTGAACTCAAGTTCGTTCTGACATCTTACAGTCAGCATTTTTACAGTCTGGGAGAGTTCAGAAAGTCAGGAGCCTCATGAGGAACACGATTAAAAACACTAGACAAGCTGCAGGGAGAGGCCAGTCTTCCCTGGATCTGCCCACAAGTTAGACCGTCCCCTGGG